TAAAAAAAGCTAGGATTGAGAGATAAGGTAGCAGTGGACATGTTCACTGACCCATGAGCCTGTCAAGAGAAGTGAGAACAAACACTGACAACTTCAAGGGTGGGGGGAGAGACAGCTTCTAGATCCAGTGGAAATTATGGGCGTCCTCTTGGAACCAGGAGATTAGTCACATTTTGTCCCAGTTACGTAAATTGAGTTACCAGTCGAACCTGAATAAAACCAGTTTCTCTCATGGAAGGTTGCACTGTGTAGCACTGATGGAAGATTCTTAATTACTAAACTTTATTTCTCAAGGGTAAGAATTTTTTAAGTTAGGCCAATTTCTGTGCTTCATTGTGGCGTATGAAACAGACCCTGTTCATATGCCTACTACACTTGTAAGGGTAGCCAAAGTGTGGAAAAATATCACCATTGACTGGTGCATGATTTTGCCTCAAAAAGTACATACATTACTTCCATGTAAAGAGGGTCACATTTCCATTTAGTAGTCATACATTTATACATGTATGTAAATGAAATCTGGCATTTCGATAGCTGCATGTAACTCTTGACATTTTGTGGATAAACATTTTGCCAATGGCCTGCCATACTGGCTAGTACATGTATACAAGCCACTGGTTGGCAAAATATGACAGACAAGCAAGAGAGATCTACGTACAGGTACATACATGTATATGATGTACTTGGCTATGTTGTCACAAGTCTTTGGTATTTCAAAGGAAAGACTTCTCAGACCACAAGCCTTCTCGGTACGCCGACTGTACCGTAGGTAGGTGTACAGTCGAACCTCGTTAATAAGAGGTCCTTTGAACTCGGCAAATTGCCTTGTTAGAGCAGGAACCACTGTATAGGGGAATAATGAAAAACAAAAGATTGGGACCTACAAATTTCCTTGCTATATTTCACAATCTTGTATTAGCAGTGCTCTCATTAATGACATTCGACTGTAGTAGGATCTACCAGTAGCATGGATCCAGTGAGGGGTTCTTCCATCCTTCTGCATTGTTATCCAATGTCCGTCCAGCCCCATCAAACTGTGACCCTACCTGACCTCCTGTTATGGGACCAACCTGATTTGAAGTGGACCACCTGCTTGGGTGAGAACAGGGGGTGTGTGCTGCGGTCAGGGATAGCTTTAGAATGGGGACAGTGCCGGTCATTCCCTACATGTAAAAGGCTGTGTAATTACATACAACCCAGAGGCAACTGTACTTTTCTCAGCTGGCACTAGACTCAGTGTCTGATACCTGGAGTAGGCTACACCAGGCAGATTTTGTTACAAATTTTCAAACACTTACTGCTACATGTAAATTGCCTAGACTGCATGTACATGTGCAATACTGCCCATTGAATGTATTGTACCAGTACTTGTATCACCTACAGGTGTAAAATTGAACTGTACATGTACCAATCTCAGGTACATTTTACATGTACATTGTACCTCTGTCGACTTTTGTGTCCATTCAAATGAAACTTCATCATAATCTGCAAATGTGTAAAAGTCGGTATGACGTGCACTGTGGCTCTCCCAGAGCTGGGTTGACATTAATTTATTTTTTCCCTGCACCAAGCCGTCACGTACAATGTACCCAATACATGCTAAACATGTACCGTACATGAGCATGTTCGCCAGGAAAACCTTAACGCATCAGAGGGACATATGGGTATATCATCACAACACATGTACCAATGTATTTAAACACTCTTTGAACAGTCATGTCTTTTACAATAGCAGGTGTGCAAACTGAAACTAATAGAATATACTGTACAGGTGCTTTTCATGCTGCACATGTACATGTACAGTAAATGCAGTGCATGTACATGGGTGCATGCACCGGTAAATATGTACTGATAATCTGCTTGAAGCAAGCATTGGATATACATGAACGGTATAAGAGACTTTGCATAATATTAAGCACACAGCTTCAATGCAAATGAAAAATCAATGCGTGTCCTGTACACTGGGCACTTATTGATTTGTACAATACTGTTGCATGCACTGTAAGTGATAGGCAAATGTGCACATGCTGAGAAGCAAGGAATTGGAAGCTGACGCCTGATAAATTCTCTCGCTTCTCTTTCACCCCTTCATTTCATCAATGCACACCAGTTTCTGTGGCCACAGACCGTTTCAGCTTGTACCATGCTACCATTGCATTAAAAGGACTGAAGCAAGATTTACCCAAACCTGTACACAATCTCACCATTATATAGACCACTCTCATTTTGCCTAAAATTTACAACTACCGCTAGCATGGGCAACCAAAGTTTGCAGAAATATCACGTTTTGCTTGGTTTTTCGATTTTACCTCAAATTCGTCAGAAAAAAAATGATATATGTCCTATTAAGCATATTTTCATTTTGTATTTAGTATTTCACGAGTGTATTATTACATGTACATGTACATAGTGTTCTGATACACTGCACCTCTGTGGGATTTTTACTTTTGTACGAATGGTCAACTTTAGTTTTAGCAGCCACTAACAGGAAATACACGACTGTGACATCAAAATGGCTGACCTCATAAGCTGTGTCGTGGCAACAGAATGGAAGAACAGTGTTTTGTAAGAAAACAGTGACTGTCATGGATGGTGATTTCAGACATGTAAAAAACTAAAAATGTTCACTACAAATATGTAAATCCAGACAAATTAAACTGTATACATGTAAGAAGGTGAATTCCAAGGACAGTTAATGAATTGCAATAAATCACTTTCAAAAAACCAAAACTCATGACAAATTGTTTTAAAAGGACAGCCACTAGTTTACATGTAGGTATTTTTCTCCACGCCACAGTGTACTGATCAAAACCAAATTTTGTCTCACATGTCTGAAGGCATTCTTGACTCACTGAATATCAAAAAGAAACGGGCAAAATCTCAAATGATAGATGGACCTGTTGAGCGACAAGCTGATGTGATAAGTGAACAAAATATACCACAAAAAATACTCTCATTGACGTCAACAAGTTGACAGCTTGAGGGAATAAGTATGGGTCAGAATGGATGCCGGGTGCATATAAATAGCCACGATGCACCACAGGGATTTTTCACTGGGGCAATATTTAGATTTTGTGGCTTTATGTGTGGGAGTTCGGTTGCATCACAAACAGCCGTGGTTTGTTTTACAGTCGACCAGGTAGTTGTATCTAGAAAGAGGAAAATCTTGGAGTGGAATTTTGTATCAAGAGGCACTTTGATTTTGCTAGCTCTGTATTCAGAGTTCAATGACTTTCAAATGAGGGGACATGTTTGTATACGTGACATGTTTTGCAATACGTGGTTGGTGGTCTTTTAGCTACATGAATGTAACTTGGTTATAAGGAAGGAATGATCATTTTCTGAGCGGCTTGTGTGTTATCCTCGTCTTATGCATCACGTTTTTGCTGATACTGCATGCACATGGCATTTTTGAGACACGTTACAACCTTTCTGAGAGATACCCATGGCATAGCCACATGCACATACATGTACATGTAAAACCCATAAAAGTGTCCATGTTTTTTTGATGTATAAATATGCAGTCGATCACTTCATGAATCTATGAAGTACACTGAAGTTTTTATTTAACAGCCACATGTTGCACAATTTGAGCACTTCCTAATGGATGACTTTTCCTAATACAGGTAAATAATGAAATTCCAAAGTGTAGGCATTTGAGGTTTCGCTACACAGCCTACACAAGGCCCTCTGTTGTTTAACTGAAACTAAAGGTTACAAACTTCCACACTTTTTTCTGGGCGTTCATGTTGGCCCTACTTGGACATGACATGTGCCACAGACCATCAATCTCTTACTGGAAGTAAACATCACACACTGCCCTATCATGGGCACCAACCCACAAGGACCTCAAAAACCTCAGCTATGATTTACATCTGTTGCTTGGACCTGGGGTTGGTCTGACAGGGGAACAATGACTACTGACTGCTGGAGTAATTGCACATGTAACTGTCCAACCTCCTTCCAAATTGCTCACTTTGTGTTCCGATCAATGAAATGGGGGAAGGGAAGGGGTGGTTGGAGATAAGTTCAGCCCAATACTCTAGTTCCCATCAAGCACGTGCTGTTTTATGCTGCTAAAGGCTTCCGCCTCTTCCCACCAGATCATTATGTGAAAACCCTCTGATTCATACATAAAATGAGAACAACGAATCACAGATCACCAATCATCTGAAATGGGTAAAACGTTTTTGAACCATGACCCTAACAACCTGCAACTACATGTATGTAGAAGAAACTACTGTAACATATCAACAGCAATTGTTACCGGTATCTGTGAAAAAAAGCAACTTTATATAAACTTCTTCAGAATTTTGTACACATGATGCCAACATTTCACCAGAGAATTACATGTAGGTACTAATATTTAGTTTAATTTAATTTAAAAATGTCTCCAGCTATATAAAGAAAACAGAAAATACTGTTTTTACAGCTTCATTAACATGTAAATGAACTCTTTAGTTAATTCCCAGTAATTTCTTTTTAGAAATGGTGAAAGAGGAAACGGAAGCTGGACATTTGTTCATCTCACTTGCAGACAGTCAGTCAAAAATATACATGTAAATGAAAAAACTGTTTCGGATTTTTTTGGTACTACAAAACTCTAAATGAAAAAAAAAGCTGTCTTGGCTTAAGCTGCTAAAGAAAATATGGAAAAAAAAACCCATACAACTAATACTTCAAGTGCTCTTATTTGTCAAAAACATACTGCATGAAGAGTGAAGGCTATATTACTTTGTGGTTCATATAACCTTTGAAACAAAAAAAGCACTCACATTTGAGACGAAATAAATAAATGTTCCCCAATCTGTGTTTGTGATGATTGCCTTATGAACATTAGGTATGAACATAACTGTCATGCAAATACCAAAAAGGATAACTTTTACAAATGATTTGCATTTCAGTAAAACTTCCAGAAAGATCAATTTCAATCACATGTTAAAATTGCAAAACCCTTTTTATTCTTTGTGATTCCCACTGGATCAAAATCGGATACCCACCTTTGGAGGCGGAGCTGTCAGCTGCGGAAAGGGTGGAAGTCCTCCTTTTGCTCTGCTCCCATTGGCCGAGCCATCCATGGTAAGCTCTGGAGCCTGTTGGCGTTAAAGAAATCAAAATCAAAGACCAAACTGGAAGAACAAAGTTAATCCTGCGCTGAAATCCACAACGGAAACAAAAATAAGCTGTGGGTGATCGTTAAGTCATTCCTCAAAGATGCTGTGGGAGAAAACTTCAATCATTTGAGATGATGCGAAGGCTGTGTAGTGATGCGGTCACTATGGCAGTCAATTGTGAACCAGCTGATGCCCTTGTGTTTGCGCACGTGGGCCTGTTCGGATGCCTGTTTCCCACGATAACACACTCGGTCTGGAGCAGTAGTAAGTATTCTGGACGTGAGCCAAGAACTTGTAATTCACAAAAACGAGAACGAGATGAAAGAGCACGGCTATGGACTCCATGCGTCGGATTTGGGCCAAGATATTTTTACGAATCCACTGGCACGCAAGAAGATACTGCAGTCATCCAGATCAAATTGTTCCCGCCAGTCCTTCCTTTTAAAAAAAAAAGATTAACTGTCAGAGAAAAGGCAGCAGATCCACGTGTGAAGAAAAACACAGGGCCGTGTCCATCAGGAAATCGGGCGGGTCTTTGGATGGGTAGGAAAGAATCCAGGCTTGTTTTGTTACACACATACTGAGGTTCACACTGTAGGCTGCAGGAATGAAGAATCCAGCTTTTTTGAGTGAGTGCGTCGCAGGCACACAGGGGAAAAAGAAAAACTGGCCGGCTCACTTCAGAGCAGGGTGCACATAGGATCCTACACTGCACTGCCTGACCGGGTGTTCTAAGCCACTCCAGTCCATACCATCATCACAAGGGCCTTGTTGGACCAGTCCATCTGCTCTGTGCTATCCCAGACCGAAACAAAGCCATCCAAATTTGCACGTAGGCACCATTCACACGCTTACACTCACAACACACACTCCGGCCTATCTGCTCACATAGGAAATTCTGTAAACCGCAAAATTAAAATCCCCCTGTATGGTTGTAATGCTTTGCCATTACATATTATGGAAGCCACGGGTCGCATAATCAGCCACAAACCCAAGGTCCAAGGGCTGCAGTAAGTGGCAGCGTACACAATACCGAGGCCTGTGATTGGACAGTCTTTGTTCCCTGCTATTCAGCCCTGGCCTCATCTGCCTGTCAAGCACCAGACAGGAGCTACCATTAGAGGTCACAGGGGTGAACGCTTACACTATCGGAGGGGCTCCCTTCCCATCAGCCATGTGCTCGAACAGTCAGGATTGCACTTTGCTAAGGAGCTCACTTTATTGACTGCAATGGTTTACAGCTCCAATGGGGGTCAGGGATTAGAGATGAAACCAGCAAGTGGTCCCCCTTGATCAGGGGATCCTAATGAGGTTATGAAAAGCTTTTCACCTGTGCAGACCACAAACAGGCTCAGGTATGCAGGTTGGCTGGAGAGAGCCACAAGACCCAGCAAAGCTCCTCAAGACTGAGCTCAGGCCTCCCTTGAATGGAAACTGAAAGATCCTCCCCAACCAACAAACAGGAACCCAAGGAAATTAGGGGTAGACAATAAGTCTCATCCAGCTCTCTGGCTTATCCAACCCAAGTGTAGTTTTATCGCTTAAAAGGATTTTTAAGGGTTTTTAGAGAAAGGAGTGCATGTTGTTAACACAGGTATCTCCTGTTGCCAACACCATCCTTTGATCAACCGTGCTTGGATGAATCGCTTGAAGTGCCGAAGGACAAAACAATTGTTATTCTGTCCAGGAAGCAACACCACTTCAACTCTGTGAAATAGTTACTATTAAATTGGAGCCCAGTTTTTGCACTTTTGAGAAGACTTGGTACAATCAAATGACCTTTGCGATGATCCAAACCTGTTCGTCGAAACAACTTCTACAACTGAACTGCATGTACAAAAACAAGTTTTCTAGCAACACCAAAGTCATTAGCTTTGAAGTACCACCGACTGAAAACAATTGAGGTCACACTAACTGGAATTGGTACAGCTCTTAACAAAGGATGATTCTCAAAAGTGAACCACACCCCACAAAATAGACCCATTACCATAAACCCTCTAAAAATAGTTGGATTGTGGGAAGACTGGGGGTTTTGCCACATATGGATCCCTAAAATAAACAGCATTTGATGAGAGTATCCCTAAACCTACTCTATAGTACCCCTATTCAACCTCCTTGTTATGATAGGCTCATTACCATGACAAAAGCCTGTTCTCCTGTAGTGGGAGAGTTAATGAAGCATGACAAGAGTGAACATCAGCTGTAAGGATAACCACATCATCACAGGATATTACTGACCACTGACCACAGCTACTTAGCACACTCATACAACAGCTGGTTTTCTGAACTGATGCCCCGAAATTCACTTTAACTGGTCACGATCGACAAATTAGAAAATTGAAAATTGCTGACAGATTCTTAGAGAAAAAGTTGTCAATTATTCCCTTATCCTATCACACAATCCCAAATTCTTCTCCTGTAGATCCATTTTAAGTATACCTTACATTATTGGGAACGATATTACTAGACCTATATCGAACAAATCACATACACAGAAGTCTATGCCTACCGCATTTGTGAAGCACCAGTTCATGGTATGCTCGCCCTGAAAATTTTTGTGGAAATTCTTTGAATCTTTCCAGACGATGAACAGTTTCTTATCACCGAACTCAAATTAGAAATAGGAAACAAAGAAGACAAAAATGTATTGCAGCAAATAAACATGCCAAATTATGGACAAAGCAGTATAAAGCGATCATTTTAAGATTATTACTAAAAATATGTAAATTAGCATAATTTTGAAATAATGATTTATCCCAAAAGTACTCATGGTCTTCAAAAAATGAATTATTATATCATGGTACGATTTCATAAATGCAGACACTTACAAAGTGCATATTGAGTTCAGGTAATATTGACCACAGGCGCAACATGATAAAGAAATGTTATTAACCTGCCACTAAAAAATGCATTTTTTACAAGGAATGACTACAAAAAAAGGAATTTAACAAGGGCACTCTTCTTTTGACAAAAAGAAAGTTCTTTTAACTGCATTATGGGAGCAAAATGTAAACAAACTACTCCAAAAATATTTGCCCCTCAGTCGAAGTTGCACCCTTGTCATAATAATGGTACGGTCTGCGGATTCCGCATATCCGAATGAGCCTGTGGGTACATTAATTGTGTATTATAAGTGTGACAGGCCAGACCGTCGTTATTCATATGCTAATGAGATTCCCCAATTCATCTGTTCCATAAAACCAACACAACTACTACGAAAGTTCCACAACCGACAATGTGTAAACATTCCCAAGCGTTTATGTACCGATGACAGAGAATAGATTTTTTTTTCGTTGGGGAGCGTGGGCAGTATGCTTCAGCAGTATTAAGCACACGATCCGGGAAGCGTGCGCGAAGGACTTAATTGCATCCTCTTAGCTCTGAGGGACGGAGGAGAAACTGAACAATGTGAGCGTGCTCCAAAATGCCGCACGGTCATTTGTGGGACCCTGTGTTCATTTTCAATTATTGTAAAACGTAATATATCAAAACGGTAAGGCTGACGTGCCATTTAGGCAAAAAATTTTAACGATAACGGGCCTTCAGTCTGCGTACATATTGATGGCGGGTAATCACGTGGAGTTACCCATCACGACGCAAGAAAAGGTAATGCTCTCCTATTTAATTTTCTTTTTTGACATCAGAAAAATACTCAAAACACAAAGAACTGATCAAGGACATTTAACATTGAATTTTGTTCGAGCCAGATGCAAACATATGGATCTGAAAATTTTGAAAAAAAATATAGGTCCTTGAAAAAAAAGTTGGCTTACAGTTAACAAGAACTGTTAGACAATGACTGAGGAAAACAGTGCTGGGACTTGTGACAAAATTCAGAAACTAATTGCTTATTCAAACTACCGGTATTTGTAGCGTGATTTATTTTTATCTTCGGGAGGGTACACTACCAGTACATGTGTTATTAAGGTACCAGGACTTCGCACAAGAAATTATTAACTCTGTACATCAACCTGTTTTTTTCTGCGGTGGCCAAATATTTATAAGCCATTTAAATGTATGGTTTTCTTTAGAACAATTTTCATTCTTTTACTTGCAGAGTAAAAGTCTGACAAGGAACTGCTACCCCTAAAAAGGAAAAGTAAAACCAACAAAAATTGTTTCAATTTCTTTTCCTGGTGGAACTGTTATCAATTGCCTCCCAGAATGCAGTGCAATAATAAATCACACAGCCAGGATCCTGCCTATCCTGTAATGAAAGGAATATATGCCTGGTATCTGGTTACGGCCTCTACTCCCCAGGAAATGTGCCCACCACATTGCTCACAAGGTCAGACGCAGGCTACATGGAGATTACACCTTCAGGTTGAGTGTAATATAGAGTGTTGAGGCGATCACGTCTGAGTTTCAAAATTCTTCATTGTGTGAAGGCAATTCAACTACTGGACCGTTTCTCCTAAATGCTTTGCAGTCCATTTAAACATTTATCACCCAACTTTTCTGGGTGGCAATTTTACTAGCAATGAATTGCACACAATGTGGTAAATGATGAAATATTGGTTTGACTTCTTTGTATTTTGTCTGCATCTCATGGGTAGCCCACGGCAGGTCACAGAAGTTTCTTCCAACATAGGACTAACATACACCTTATCTTAGGAATTCCTGAAATTCCAGGCATCAATGAAATTGCAATTTCATTGAACCTAAATTTAGGAAGACCGAACTGCTAAAAAGTCTGATACTATGGACATGGGTACATGCATAAAAAGAATGGATAAAGAACTTAATAATACATTTGGACAATTAGAGGAAAAGGTGCAAAGTGAAAAATTTCACTGTGATGCAGAGAATACATGAATCATTTGCATCTGTTCTTTTAAAAAATACTTGTAAGTTGATGAATACTTGAATCAAAAGAAGTTTCGGAAAAACCCTGATAAATACGATTGCAATATAAAAAGCCACTTCTTTGTCAGGAAACTTGAAGGAGTAAATTTATGTGCAGAGTGGTTGCCATCACAACGGATTTGCTCATCTCGTTAAGAATTCGAGCGGCATGCAAGCCAAGTGCAGGAGAAAGCGAGAAAAAAAAAAAAGGTCGGAACGTGCCTCGTTAATCAAGCAACTTCACCAACAGCAGCTGATCTGAGCTGCAATAAATGAGGCAGGCAGGAAATGGCAGACGGACGCAGGAAGGGTGACACACAGGGGGCTTAATGCAATTAGAAGGGGGTAGAAATGTTTGCGTGTGTGTGGGTGAGTGTGGGGGGGGGTTAAGGGTGGGGAGAGACGTGTTGGATGAATCAGCAGGAGGGAATTGCACAGCATGCACGGATACCCATCTATACATGGAACTTTTAAAAAAAATTTGTTTCAGTTTTGATTTCAAAATAGCTGAAGTTGAGTGTTTATTTTTCTCAACAGAATGGATCAATGCAATGTGCTCCCAAGAGCAAGATGAAAATTAGCACAGCAGCGTAAATGGGTACAGAGCCTTCATTATTAGTAAGTAGAAGAGTGACTTCCTAGGGGGCGCACTTTCAAGAACACGGAGGGTGCTCTTGAAAGAACAGAGAAGGGTGTTCTTTGGAGACATCCACGGTACATTCTGAAATAAGATATTTGAAATCCCCTCCGTATTGTGGTGCTCCACTTCCGATGATTAACAGTCAGTGAAATTTTGCCTGTAGGCTAATATTACGGCAGCGTTAGGGTCGTGTTCTATGAAAACAAATGGCTTGCGTGTTTATATGCCAGCGAAGTGATCAGGCAGATCTGCATTGGTACAGTAAAAAGATCACGCTACAGCAACTCAAGACGGCTAGCCACTGCAGGCTGGTTGTCTTGAAAATACATTCAAATCAAACCAACAAGAATGATTTGCTGAACGTGATTCGCTGAATATCATGCCCTTGTGCTATATTTGACAATCGGAATGTATCACTCACGTGAGTGATGAAGCTCATTCCATGTGGCTTTTGACAAGCTGTTGGGAAACCTGACTAAATGACATGTGTGACTTGCAAATGTTTACAATTACCAGCAACTAACCATGGGCATGGCTGAGAGTAAAAATTCCATAAAAATTTGTACAAATAGTTGATACAATAGTTCATCAACTCCAAGCATTTTTTACACAAAATAATAGCAAATCTGGTTATTATGCATGATCCATTGCTGGGAATAATGTTAACACTTGTCTTAGTGGCTGGTATAGGCTAGGCCATTACTAACTGGCAAGCCTAGGCCCCTACTTAGTGTTAGGCCGGAACACATCAAACATGTTCAAAGTCAGCTCAGTTACATTCCTACATAGTGAAACCTTCAAAATGGATTAAACACTTCTGTATCACAAGATAACATCCTGCACCCTTATCTAAAAAATGTACATGACGAAGAATTTGTAGGTTCGGTTTTAGTGAGAAAACAAACCCGTTTTATTTCGAACTAACTTGCACAACAAACACAGCCAACGGCTCATCTCAACCCTTTGTTTTCAGGACGCTGAACACAGGCAACTTCGATAACTAAGCCACTGAATGCCGGGATGTTGATTAAAAACCACAGAGGAACTTACACTGTGGATTCAGCATGTCATCACGATCAGGGAAACTGTGTTTACCGGTCGGGAAATGACCTCCAACCCTCAACAAAACTCGAGCAAGTCGACGGCAAACACCCGCGGGATAGACGCTTGCATACAATCGCGAGCATGCTGATCGCCAGGAATAATGCCGACAATTGAGGGCGCTGTTCGTCGCACCGGTTCGCGCTTCGATTGCCAGCGGCAAGCGACGCGCAACAATGAAGAGGGCGCTTTGCCAATTTAATAGCGTCACATTTTTACATTCTGACTGCGCTCACGTCTTTGACTTTCGCAGCAGATATTGACTGATCACTCGAAAGGATACGTTGAAGATATTAAACAATTAAGAAACTCTTCTCTAGAGCTGGTCTGAAGTCAGTTGCACTGAAAATCTGACCCCCAAAAAACGCCTGACTGTCGTTCGGCGTGCACGACCGTAAAAGCTAAAAATACTTCAACCATTTCGACACAAGGAATTGTTAGCATGCAAAAAATCTAAGCAACAGGAATCAATTTGAAGTATCCATAGGGCGTTAATTACGTGGTGAGGAGGAACTCAGTAAAAGCCACAGATCTCATTCAAGACGCTGGAAGGATTTACAGGATAAACACAGAAACTTCCGCAGACCGATCCGGTTGCAAGAATCAGGACCCATTGCAGTGTCCCCACGTGCTTGAACAAGAGATGCACATTGAATGCTTCCTCATCAGCCAATGGGAGCGCACTGCTAACCAACTTGAAATCACGCGCTCGTCAAGCTCAGGAATGCGCGCCTGAGTGACGGGGGACATAGCAGTAATGGCGTCAGCGAATCGGTCTATAGTTGAGTAAAACCCACTGTCCAATGATCCTACCTCTATACACCGACCGAATCATTACCAATCAAGCGCCTAGGAAGGCTACTAAACAAGTAAAGAAAGAAAACAAAATTAACATAAGTTCCTGCACGGCCCCCCTTGAAAAACCGGTTTGAGTGAACCTCACCTGTGTTTTTTTGCGAAGTTCCACGCATTTTCTCATCTTGCAGATCTGGTGACCAGTCCTACGATTCTTACAACTCGAGCAGTCTCCACAGTTCTGCTTGGTCATGCAAGGTTCGCAAACCCCGCATCGCTTTCGCTTCTTCTTCTTGCTGCCCGAGGCGTTAGAACCGTCTGCCATGTTACCGGGACTGGTGGCTCCGTTGTCGCTCTGGTTGGCCGACAGCGATCCATCGCTGTGGTTAGGGGAGAACAAGGGATTGTCTTTGGGCGAGCCAGGGGAGGAACCACTGCTGGGAAGTGGGCAGGTTCGGGGAATGTCGATCTTAATGGGTGCTGAGGAACTGAATCTGGAGACTGCCACTCCGACGGGGAAGATGGGCTGCAAAAGTTGCGGCTGATTCACGACAACGCCCGAAGTTGGTGCAACGGCTGTTTGCTGCTTGTGGGCCTGCGGGCGCGACGACGGGAATGGCCGTAAGTTATCGGAGCCTCCTAAGTCGGAATCCTGGCCAAGTTTTGAATCTGTCTTCTGCTGGCCGTTCAGTGCCCAACGCAGTTTCGGCACGGCCACGCCGAAGGCCGATGAAGCTTCGTCGTGACGGATGTGGGTATCCCGTCTCTTCGCTGAGGCGTCCGGTTCGTGAGCTTCTGATTGGGCCAGGCGGGCTTCAGAAGTCCCTGCGAGGGCATGGGTTCCCCTGGGCGGCCTCAGCGAAGCCCCAAGTCCCGCATCCAGTGTCTTCTCGATCATGCTGGCTATGGTGAGACCAGCGGACATCTCAGATCCTGATTTGGGCCGCTTGGGCTTTGGCTCAACCCGGGCGTCATCATCACCGTGCTTGCGACTATGTCCGTTCTCCCCACAGGGTGACGATAGAATCACAGTGTTTTCAGCTGACAACGGTATCATTTCACTCTTCTCCGAGGATGTAGATTCTCTGCGTCCAGTAAATGCGTTGGAGTTCTTGTCAAGCTTGGCATACTTGGAGTCCTGTTCACTCCCAGCCGAAGCGGGAGAATCCCTGGGTGACTTAGCCAGCTTTCGCTTGTTGCCGTTCGCTTTGTCTCTCTTCTCCTTCTTGGGCGTCGCACCGTCTTCCTTCGCGGTGGTTCCTTGCTGGTCGGTGGATGTAACCTGCTTACTCTTGCTGCTATAAGTTTTCTTCCCTTTGTCCTTGGAGTTCGAGTGTTTCACAGCTGATTCCTCTGGGGCTTCGGGTGAGGCACTGCCCGCCTCTGCTGGGCTCATCCCAGGCCCCTTGGTCGTGTTATCGTTGGAGTCTCTTTCCTCGGTGTTAAGAACAGCTGCATATTTCTTTCTGCGTAGTTCCTCTTCCTTCTCGGCTTCCCTCCACTCCTTCAGGAGCGTCTCTTTTCTGCTCTCCTCTTTGACTTTTCTCCCAGAGTCTGGTTTAGTCGGGTCCTTCTTAGTCGGCGGCGTCTTGGATGACGCCGTCTTCTTGGTGTCAATGTCCTTGATGATGGGCACCCGCAACTCCACGTTGTCGTCGTCAATGCCTTCCTCCCAGGGGTCAGTCTTGGGGCACTTGGCCGCCTTGGCGGCGGGAGGGCGGTATTTGTCCTCAGGCCGTTCGTCTGTGGCCAAGTTGTCCTCCAGCAGTGTTCGGCGAATGAGCGCCTCCACGAGATTTCCTGAAGCCATCTGTAGAAACGCCTGGCCTTCGCCTGCTTTCAGCATCCTGAACACGGAAAGAGGAAAAAACAAACCACTGAGTTCAAAGACGACGAACAATTGAAATGGAGAAAGAACACAAACCCATGCCACGACCGCAAATCCATTTTTAACCCTTTAACACACTACAATGCTGTCTTATCTGCAACCTTTTACAGGCAATCGCGTACAGCATCTGCATCATTAATTTTCCTCTACCGGCCACCTGAAGCACTGAAGAAATAGAGCGCCCCCAATGACAGATTATTTCTTATTTTTAATTCCCCACTTGAGGACGGGGTTGAACGCAACCCCCTCTATCGATAGGAAAGAAACCATCAATAGGCACTATTTTACAAAACTACTTCACCACAATCCAATACGATAAAATCATCAGTGCCGGCGTCCCTGCCCCCCCTCCTTCAATTTGTCAGCTACCGCTTCCACGGGAATTTACGACCAGGCAACCCTTGGCATGTTTGCACAGGCTGAGGCTAAACGTCCCTGCACGCAGACAGACGGGACTGCGGTACGGCTAAAGAAAAAAACGCCAGCAGGCGAAGCAACGCTGGAATGTTACGTATTACAATTTATTCTTTAAATTAACATTATGCGACTGAATCTGAACTGGGGTGATAAAACCGGGGGAAACTGACCTTAAATTTGTTTCGGTTCGTTAATGAAACAGACGCCTTGGTATGAGCTCAACGGAAAAAAAAACAATTTGGGTCCAACGAACGGAAATAAGTTGTTACTTTTAGAAACGGCTTTTGAGAAGTGACTTTTTTTTCTGTATATTCCTAGCAGTAAGTTGATATGAGGTGAAAAGGGAATTCTAGTCAAGCAATTATCGACTGAAACCTGTGGACAGAATGAACCCAATCGCAATATAAGGACTGGGTTGACATAACCGTCACAACCACGTTCTTACTGAGCTGGTTTGGGAAAAATGCTATACATGTATTCGTGCTCCTAAATTCAAAAATATTTATCTGCTCTGAAAGGAGAAAGATCCTGCATTTAATAGGCAACCTACAAAATGCCGTGAACAGCTCTAGCAAAAGGCAGAGACTAAAACTGTTCCCATAATTCTGAACAGAGCAGGCGTACAAAAAAACTTAGCAGGAAAAAACAGAAGGCTGAAATCAGCAGAAAGATGAATTCTAACACCTCTGATGAAACCAACCAATCAATTACACGCTAATGCAGGCCATTCAAATGCGGATCAAATACACAACAGAGCTGTTTAAAACGGTTGTTGTTTGGGAACCTTCCCCACGAAAATCACCAGCTGAGGGCGGAGCAAAGGACAAATTTGAAATTCCCAAAGCTACACAATTTTTCGGTTTAAATTTGTTTCCTTAAACAACCGCCTTGTATGATGATCCGAGTTTCAGGCAATCTACTCCGCTCTGTTTACGTGCGTCTTGCTATTACACTCTTTGCTTTCTCAGCATGTCAACGAAACAGGTCTTACATACTTTTGTGGGAGTACGGGACCCATTTGAGATTTAAAAACAACATAACTATGGACTACTTCAGTTGGAAAACGCAAAGCAAACGCGATACCTTCTCGATAAGAATATGACCCGTCGCTTCAAACAGCGTAGAGAAGGCCACCTGACGTGCCTTTTATTTTCCAAGCGCCCTTGATATACGACTATCACACGCACCCGTCTCTCCTCGGCCTTTTAACGATTTATGCCGCATGCGGCGCGCCATAGATTGCCGGCTCGACGCACGATGCCATTTACGGCGGGATTATTGGCAACCCAACCCTGACGGGGAGGAAATCTATCACCGGCCATCTGCGTCCAATATTTGCCTTCGAGGGAGAGCCGATTAGACGTTAAAGGGACTTTGCCGACTCTTATCTGTGGACTACGGCCTCATCAGGTTGCCCGCCGCGATTTTCGGTCCAGTCAGACTTAGTGATTATTTTCGCGCGGCCGGCAATTATCTAGACGCCATACCAAAAACCTAAAATGAAGCCATTCTACTGTACGGATGTCATCCCTCGTCTTTTAGAAATTGGGAAATCAGTAACAAAGGAAAGACAAGAAAAGACAACCCCAAATGGAGCATTCTTTTGTGTCAAAATGACATTTCCACCAAATTCTCATAGACCAGAGAGATACATAAAACAGTCACCGGGGAAAACTTCAATTTAGCAAAAACAGCATGATGAGAGACCGCGCGCGGACGATGGTGTGTTTGTTCCATCGCTGGTTGCCTTCCGGTAGGGAAGAAACACGGTACACGGCGCCCGCCTTCAAAGCCACAAAAGAATGCCAAAATGCGGCCGAAGTTCTGGTTAACTAAGGTACCTGGGGTTTGTCTGCGCGGCGCGCACTAGTGAAAAAGAGTTGCGTGGTTCTGTCAACTAGACACGTCCTGTTAGTATAGTGAGGTTGAGGCTAACCGAGTTGAATCATGCAACGTGAACTCATTTAAAGCTGCAACCTCGTTGACAAATCAGAATTCTAGGTGCTCAGAAGGATCGACTTTTCTTCTGAGTGATATAACAGTCGTGTTTATCGAATAAGAAAGGTGGCTGTTTCAAAGCAATGGTTAAATACTTATTGCACACAAAACGACGATCTTAATTCGCCAATGACTATAACAGAAACCGAGACGACGAAATTTGACCCAGGCTTTAAGATTACAGAAAGTCTTCGGAGAGACCAGGTTCGTTGCGATGAACGAGGACTCATCTAACTAGGCATACGCCACCGATGAACGAACTGTCCAATGGGAAAAAAGGTACTGCTATCAAGAAAAATCACGCACATGCTCAGTTTGCGAGAATTCAAGACGACTGCGCAGACAAACCACAGATCGCGTCTCACTGTAAGATTTGTATTGCAAATTGATTTGCGTTGACTTCTGCAAAGAGTCGACGGAAACCCGTTCACAGCTAGCCTTAATATCCAGCAAGAATCACTTGAAATTTTTGACGCACTGAAAGCGCAACACTTCAAATTCACCGCACATTCTCACATTCAGCAGGCTCTGATAATAAAACAGTTCTATAGTCTGGCACGCTTCCCCAACCCGACCGAAAGCAATCATCGAGCCGTCCTCCTGAACTTCTCAAACTGCCTATTATTCCACAACTCAACGTGACGGACTACGCTCCGACCACGCCGAGTCAAATCCCCCAGCGGCCTTGCTACCGCGCCGTCCCGACCCCCGTGAGAGGCTCATACACCTGCGCTCCCGTAATCGGTACCGCACGCCTGCCACCCTGCACGACAACATTAAAGGGGCGCTGTCTACCCCAACCGCAGGGGTTGTTTACGTCTGAATTTTGTGAAGGAAAAAAAAACCGAGAGGTTCGACCTACAAGAATAGCGTGGGCTTTAATCTCGTGGGCCTCAGCATGCGCTCAAGTTTAATGTCGGTAGAAGTTGTGATAAACACAAACGATACGCGGAGACAACGACCTCTACAAACGACTGGGCAAATGACGTCAAGGATTTCCATGGCTTGCAAATTTATTCCTTTAATACTAGAGGGATATATATCTGAACATTGTAGCACCTTCGTCGATTTATGGTTAAAACCGTTTTTCGTCACTGTGGGATCGAACTAAGTCGGGTGTTTAGCGCCATCAAGAGACACAAGGTGAAAGAGATAATGTGGACTCCATTGTAAACCTTATAAAATGCTGATAATTAATTTCAAGATTGTCGTGCATCCATCATGGTGAAGAAACGTGATTACAGCACATGTAATGTAAATCTGTTTAAATGAATTTCGACTTTTGCTTTTACTACCATCAAGCGAAGAAAGCGCAGCTAATTCCGAGTTCACCAAGGAGGAGCTCCAAACGGGCTCTCAGAGCTGGGAATTTGTCTACTGTTAGTGCGTGCCCATATATTTTGTAACTACCAAGGACCAAGACCTAGCCCTAGACCCAAGATTCTGACGTAGCCCAGCAACAGTGGGATGACTGTTTTGCTATATCGCCCTCTGCACACCAAATCGGCCGCTCAGCGTCAATAGTTAAGAACGAGTCTATCACGGACCTTTAACCTCCTACTTTATTTTGAATCATCCAGTCTCCAGGGGCGCGCTCCGCGAGGAAAGGGGGTGCAAAATACGTGGGTTTGAGTGACACGGGGAAAGAGGAAGGGGAAAAGTACACACAGTCCAATCATGTAGGGTCACATCATACGTCAACATGAATTAGTCTCCGATAACAGGCGGCGGTAGCCATCTCTTGACCGCAAATTGAGTGATACAATAAAAGGCGTACAAGTTTTCATCGGGGGAGAGATGTCACGAGCACTGTTCGTAAGTTGCTCTGAGCTGAGAACCGGCAGGTTTGGGACTGCTGAGTCTGCCGAGTGTTACTCGGTATAGCAATGCATGCGACGTCAATGCCCAATGGGTCTGTCGAAAACGATGCCAAGGCCGTTTGGGCGGTATACTGGGTCAATCGCTACAGATCGTTCGTGGTGGTGACGGATGGACAAAATGATGGAAATATGCCTTCAAAAGGTGCGCCTTCATGCGCGATATCATTGTCTGAAGAAGCACGTGACGCTGTGCCAGATGCGCAGTAGAACTGCCCACTATACGTCTTAATTGCAGGAGCGATTGATTCATTTATAGAAAGAAAGATCTTCAAGGAGGACTCCAAGGCATGTCTACACACAGGGTACTCAATGTATTCAGAGTTCGCAGTTTCTTGTGAACACGGGAATGTTTCCAGAGACGCCATGAAATTCACACAGAAATATGAGAAACGTCTTCCAAAACTCAGACCCAAACTCTTAAACTTGTAAAAATTTCTGAAACGAATTTCTGAAAGTTACCGAAATCTCATTTACAGCACGTGAACAAACAGTGATTTAAAAACCTTAACTTTTTCCAACGTTTACAAATAGAATTCAGAGCGAAAGCTGCTACCAAATCCATACACGCAACAGCCGTTTATTAATAATTCCAAACTGGCCGACTATTTTGACAGCGGGAGAAAGCCAGGGCCAACTTTCGTTGGTTTATTTCGGCTGTCCTCAC